GATTGCCCCTGAGCATCATTTCTGATGCCGGCCCATCACAAATGTGCTCCTTGATGATCTTCTCAAAGAGTTTCCCCAGGATTGAGGTAAGACTGACGGGCCTATAGTTGCCCGGGTCCTCCCTCTTCCCCTTCTTGAAGATGGGGACCACATTTGCTACCTTCCAATCATCTGGCACCTGGCCCAAGCACCACGATCGCTCAGAGCCATGCCAGGGGCCCTGCAATAACCCCAGCTAGCTCCCTCAACACCCTGGGGTGGAGAGCATCCGGACCCCAGGGCCCCCCTTGGAGTCACCAGGAACAATGGCCACAAGCTGAGGGAGGATAGCTTTAGGTTAGGTATTAGGAAGAACTACTTCACTGTAAGGGTAGCCAGAGCCTGGAATAGGCTTCCCAGAGAGGTGCTCTCACCTTCCCTGGAAATCTTCAAGAGGAGACTGGATAGACACCTGGCTGGGGTCTTATGACCTCTGCCACCCCCAGTGCTCCTTCCTGCCCACAGCAGGGGGTCAGACTAGATGATCTGTCTAGGTCCCTTCCGACTCATTTATTCTATGATTCTGAAGAGACAAGGAAATCCTAGTCTACCTGTAGTTGGAATACTATGGTAAAAGATACCTTTACAGAATAGTCAACAAACAGTTACTCATGGGAAAAGTAAGAGAGAAATGAACTATTTCATACTAAAAGTTCCTCTGGAAATCCAACACTCTCTGGTTTATTATCCTATTTAATGTCATATAGGGCATAGGTAGGGACCTACTGAATTCACAGCAGAAGCGGGCTCTGCGGCAGCTCCTTTCACCTTGCAGGTTCCCTCACATACCCCTCCACATTGCTAACTGGTTGAGGCACCCTATGGGTCTTGCTGCTTGCTGCTGACCAACTGGGAGGCAAAAATGGCACCTTATTTAAAACCATAGTTTTTGCCTCCCTGCCAAATCAAGAGTGAAGGGCAGGCCCCTCTCCCAAACAGTGGGAGGGGGAGAGGGAACGTGGGGGAACCTACAAGATGAAAAGAGATGCTGCGCAGCGCACTTCCACCATGAATTTGATAGGTCCCTAGGCAGAGTTATAGCTATAGATCAAGCTTCACTACCATGATACCTTTGGGGACAAGTGTCCAAAACAGCTGTGATCTAAAGCAAAATGCATTCCATCACAAACAGGTCACTTTGAAGCAAAAAGAACTCAATGCAATTTAAGCTAAAAATTAGATTTCATAGATTACAAAATAAAAAATAATTAGGTACAGTCAGCAAATCTTTTGCTTTCACAATTTTCTAGTACTAGAGAGGTTGCAAGGGCTTATCTTGACACACAAATGACACGGGCTTAAAAATGTGACTAGCAATGTGATTTGAAGAGTCAAACAAAATACCATATTTGAAAACTTAGTTCTTTAAAGGCTTAAATGCAGTAGGTATGAGTATAACAATTACTATAGTCTTCTTCATACACAGAATCCCACTTCACAGAAGAACAGAATCTGAAGTCCAAGTAAATTATGGAATTAACAACTTTGATTTTGCCTACAGAGGTAGGAGCACAGATAATTAAAGCCTCAGTGTTTATGAGAATGTCTGAATAATGATTAACTAGAAGGAGAATTTGATTGCATTGAATCTTTCTAATAAAAGAAGGCTAAGTAAAGGCTTGTCTGTCCTACTTATTTTAGTTTATAAAACTTTGCCTTTGCCAGTGCAGATTGAACTAAAGCAGCCCAACACCTAGATTACAACTCTACCCAACTTCACTGGTTCAGGCAGGATTCTCATAGGACTCTATAATGTTTTTTTTAATTTCAGCACTAGAAAGATTACTCACATTAGAAGATGATCTTTAATAAAGATATTGTACATGGACCCTTTAAAAATTGCTCTTGGTGGTTGAAGAATTTTTTTAAACATCATCCTACGTAAGTGTACACATACCATGGTCATGCAGTTCTGAAACAGTCCAAATTAAACACATGTGTACCCACTTAAGTCAGAATTAAACTCATGAGTATGAACTTAACTTTTCTGATGTCTGAGGCTAAGTACAGACAGTCAAAAAGCCTGAGGCTGAATCAGTTCAATGTAGGCAGCTTCCTTTAAGCTGTATAGGTTGAACTGATAACCAGCTGAACTGACATTCAGTTTTCAACTGGGAAAGGCAGGGAATTTCCCACTTCCCTTCCCAGCTGCTGATTGCTTCAGCCACTGCCACAGTAGGGAGGGAGCAGAAGTCCTTCAGGCCGGGTGCCTGCCTGTGCAACCCAGCATAGGGGTAGTGGACAGCCCGCACCTTGGGGAGCTTCCCCCCACCCTAGCCCAGGCCCCCAATCTGGGGCAGCCCCAGGGAACTCTGCAGGTTCAGGAAGCGAAGAATTGCCTTCAGCTCTCAGGGTCCCCCAGCCCTAGGCAGCCCAAAGGCTGGGGGAAGCCCTGCAAGATGGGGGCTCCCCAGTGCCTCCATGCTGGGCTGCATGGGGGGGCACTCAGCCTGAAGGACTCCTTCTCCCTCCCTCCTGTGGTAGCCACTGAAGCAATCAGCAGCTGGGAAAGGGAAGGGACGAGGGCTGCCAGGGTCTGAAAGCCCCCACCATAGGGACTTTTACTCCCCACCACTTGCTGTGTAGACCCTGGCTAGGGAGACTTGGGTTCTGTTTCCCTGCCCCCCCATCCCTATGGACAGACAGACACAGTCAGGAAGCAGGCTAAGGACCAGAGGGGCAAGGCAGTCTCTGTTTCATGGGGGCAGGCAACACAGCCCAGGGCTGCAAAGCATCCTGGGCTGTCAGAGGACTGTGAGATAACTTGAACCAGGAAGGGATCTGGGAGAGAAATTCCATAAGCTAGCTTGATCTAAATGCATTAAGGGATCATGGAAATCAGGAAGTTCAAGGAAAGGATACACAATTATTTGAGGGAAGCTTATTTCTCTGTCCTCCTACACAAAGATAATTCAGTTATTTGCTCAAGTTCTCAAATGTTTTCAGATTTAGATATAAACGAAGTTCCAGTCTTTCAAGGATGATATGTGCTGGTCTTTGCCTGCTTGCTTAGAGTTAAGCATGCACCCAAGTTCTGCATAACTGGAGTCCAGGCAGAGAACATTTCATCCAAGAGTGCAAGTTCTAGAAAGTTATACGTAACTGAAAAAGTTAACTATAACAAGCACCAACTATACTATCTTAACTATCACAGAACATAACCAGTACTTGTACGCTAACAAAAACAGGTCCTTATACAGTTTTCCCCATCAGTAGGGCAATAATTATGGGTTTGACTGATCCCTAGATGCAAGAAATACTGGGAATTCCTTGAACATACATGTGGGAAAAATCCCAGCTACCAACTGTTCAGATATGCTTCATTTCAAAACATGAAAATCGGCTCACCAAGAGCTTTAGTTTCACATCAGTGATAGATGGCTGGGAAGACTCTAGGATGCAATTCCAGGACTTTCCATAGTAGCAGATATGAGAGAGAAAAATTTGGCCTTCGAATTCACAATGCACACTGGTTACTTACCAAAAATGTATTTCCACAGTGTCCACACACTACCCTAGTACCATCTGGTTGAACAGGCATGGCAGGCTGAGCTGGCTGTTCTTCTGGAATCAACATCACTGGACCAAGATTAATGATGCGTCTACTGGGGTAAGAATATTAAATGCATGTTATCATTAGGCTGGTGAAGGGGAAGGCATATGCAAGTGATTAGCACTAGATACAAACATGTCTTTATATCTATAAAATGTATTAAAATATTAAAAATGCAGTCATTTGGGTCTCTCTCACTATAGGGTTTTCCAAATAGATAAAGGATTTCTTCCCTTCCCTCTGCCCCCACTGGAGGTTATATTACCATCCACTTAAGTGGAAACTATTTCAAGAGAAAAGGCATAGTCAGCAAATGGCAAAGAGCTTGGGGTTTATAAGAACTCTCTCTCAGACATAGTCCATCAAGCCTGGAATAACCAGACATTCAAGCTTGTGAACTGGGACAGGCAGAAGTGGCCAGAGAAAATATGCAGCAGAGCTAAGGAATATTTTTTGGTCTTCTAGCCAAAATTATTTCCCCAATCAGTTTCTACCCTGATTAAAAATGAGGCATTGCTCCCTATTATTTCCTCCAGCCAAACTGCTTCTTCCTACCCTACCCAGTTCATCCTAAACCAAACCAGGCAACCTCCCTGTACCTTCTGTAGCCAAAAAGTCAGTCAAATCTGGTGGATCAGAAGAATACTGGAAATGCTAAGCTTTGCTTAATCAAAAACTTTTAATACACTAAATCCAGGGTGTCAAACTCATTTGGCCCCATTAGCCAGATCCAAACTATGGGGCTTCTTGTAGGCTGCACAGCCCACCTCTGGCAGCAGAGCAATCAACAGTGGCATTAACCCCTTAGGTTCTGGCAGCTACACAATTCTTGCTTTAGACCTACATTCCTAACAGGGATCCAAAACTGGGAATTCACTAGTGGAGCAAGCAACATTAACTGCCCAGGTGCTGTCCCTGCAAATATAATTGCTCTGGTAGCCACTGGGATTAATGCCCCCCCAGAAAGTCCTAGAGGCCACATGTTTGATACCCCTGCATTCATCTAACATCAAGTTCACCCTACCGATATATCAGTGCCATATCAAATTGGCACTGATAAAAGCAAAATTAACATCAGCAGCTATTGGCTTTTTTGGCTGGTATAACCAACAATGTACCAATAAATGTAATATGCCTTCTGGCTGGGGCTCCCAGACACCATGCACAGGTGCACAGCCACATGCATGAACACAGCCAGGAACACACCCAAGCAGTGTGGAGAGCAGCACCTTGCAGGTAAGTCTGTGGGTGGGAAGAAAATGGGGGAAAGGGGGCAAATTAAGGCCCCCCCACAGTGTGGTATGGTGTGGGGCAGGAGCAGGGTAGTGAATGGAACCCTGCGGCCCAGGCAGGGAATGGGATGGAGCCGTGGGCAGCTCATTCAGGGGAGCAGCGTCCCAGCACTTAAAAATCGCAGCAGGGGCACGTGAATTAATGTTAATTGAAAGAGCTTTAGTTCAAGCACCACCGATATCATTTTTAAGCACCGGGATGCTTTTAACTGGAGCGAAGCCCAGTGGGGCAAGGGTGGAGATGGGTTGCCTGCTGTGGGCTTGGGGCTCTTTGTCCCAGGAGCCATGTGCTGGCCATGCCACACTCCCTACCCATCTAGCAGCAGAAGGAACAGCTCACCACCACCAATGCCACCACACAGGCAGGGGATGCGGCATGGCCAGCATGCAGCTCCTGGGGCAAAGGCAGCAGGGTGAAAAACCCCCGAGTCCACAGTGGGCAACCCGCTTCTACCCTGGCTCCGCTCCAGTTAAAAGGATCCCAGTGCTTAAAAATCGTGGTGGCAGTGCTTGAACTAAAGCTCATTCAATGAGCTTTAGTTCAAGTGCCCCTGCCACCATTTTTAAATGCCAGGACAAGCCACCCGTGGCTCTGTCCCACTCCCTGCCCTGGCCCCGGGGTCCTTCACTGCCCTGCCCCTATTCACAGGAGGCCTCGATGTGCACACCCCATGCTGCTTCCCTTCCACAGACTTGCCTGTAGGCCCTGTTCTCCATGCTGACCGGCTGCATTCCTGTAAATCGGTTATTGTATCGGTATCAGCTGATATGCTTTGTGAATAATTTGCTATCTGTATCAGTGCACCCCAATATGATACTAATAAAGTCACCAATTTCTAGCTCTTAATACCATGTAATGTCAATGTGTGTCATTTGCTTGATTTTATGATCAAATAATCCACACTGGATTATTCCATATTTCCAATTTAGTCATATAACTTGTTCATGCAGAATGACAGCACATGAAAAAAAAAAGATAGGAAAATTCTCATTGGGTTCTGCTCATTTCCGGCACTGGAAACCTGACGGCAGTATGGCGGTGGGAAACAACAAAGTCTTGCAATGCACAAGGTCTCTCTCCCTTTGTCATACTGCCAGAGTTAAGATTTGCAGACACTATCGTTGAGCTGGTTCCTCTTTAGAATAGGTGGCAGGATTCACAGCAGGCCATTCTCTGTGAAGAGCTCTCTACAGAAGGCACCGCCTAGAGTCTGGTCAAAAATCTGCTCAGTTATCCCCACAAACAAGGCATATCTTAGAGCTGCTCAAAAGGTATTCAACTGTTGGGAATGATAATTTAATAAGATTAGGGTATTTAGGTTTTTTGCTGCATTTTTACTTGTATATTAGATACCGTGACAAAAGCAGGACAAGAAATGTCTGTCCCATCCTGCAAGTATGTCTGAGATTTCAGAAGCTTTTCTTCTTCTGCACTGGCACAAAACAAGACCTTTTCAAGCTTTCCCAAGAGGAAAGATGCCCTTCCCATGCTCCAGAACAAGGTTGGTGGTCAGTGCAGATAATGCTGTGTAGGCTTTGCTCTGCGTAATTGCTTCCGTTGAAGCTCCTGCACTTTGCAGTTAAACGCTGGGACACTGATTCCCTGGACAAGCCACGTGCGACTCTGTCCAGGGGATCAGCGTCCTGGCACCTGGGGAGGGTAGGAGGGAGGGACAGAGGAAGAGATTACTGCTGTATAGAGCCTGTTATGGAACTCATCAGGGAGTTGTGTATAATGAATATTTTCTTCTTGCAATGAATATTTAATTATGTATACAAAGCTCCAACAGGACAAGCTGAGACTCACACCAGAACAGCTGAATGTGCCTTGATTAGAACACTCACTTGAGACATGATGCAGGAGACCCAGGTTAAAGCCACTGCTCTAAAATCAGGCACTAAAAAGATTTGAACCAATGTCCCAAACACCCTAGGTATCTGCCAGGATCAGCAAGCTATCAGCTCCTTGCAATTGTAGATGCTTCAAATTTAATGGGGAATCTCCTTATGGATATAAAAAGAATTCTTCACTGACATAACTTTTCACATGCTGTATGAAAAGATTCAGGTTTTAACTAAGCTAGTGTTTTCCAACTGGGAGAGGGGGAGGAAACAGCTGAAAAATTCCAACCAGTTCTAGTTACAACTAGGATAGTCAGAATTTCACTCATGGTACTCAAGTATGCACCAGAACCATCCTATGCATTGAGAGAGGCCTCTTTTTTTAAGGCTGGAAGAACACAATATCAGACTGCTTAAATCAGCTAATTATTCTAAGTAAAGAGGAGCAATATATCTTCAGGGTGTTTTGAAGAGGAAAGGATAGGTGGCACTTCTTCAAAGAGATATTGCAAGTTTTCACAGTTTATGAGCTATAAAAGGGGTGTAATAAAGTAAGTTGTGTACTTGCCACTTTTCTGGGGAAAATCAGACGCAGCATTTACCAGAATTTAAGTGTTCACTCCATTGTATTGTTACTGCCTTCATATATTCCTTGTAAATCATATAAACATGCAACTTAAGTGAAATACCATTCCATAAAAAATAGAGATATTTGAAGCCAACCCAGACAGATTATAGTTACTATGGCACAAGGTATTATTTTTTCTTTAAGTATGTTAACATAATAAATCAGGTAAATTAATATCTGGCCTGAGGTCTGTGCGAATGTTTGTAAATATAGTTTTAATGAAATGATCAAAGTCTATACGTTCTTTATTTTATAATGACTTCAATATCTGTGTACCTTTAGCTAGTTATTTACCATATTTGCATTACAATATAATCCTAGCAATTTTATTATAAATGAAATGGAACTACTGCAGTTAAGAATTTTCTTACCACGTGGGTCTTGGACAGCCTATTCTTCGAGATGTATCCTTACAGATTAGGAGACAATTACATGGACATCTAACATACTTCTTCCCTGAAGGAGGGTTTTTGATTGGCTAGACCAGAAAAAAGGAGACAGAAATTAGCCTTGAAATAATGAACTTTGCTTTATTTTTGAATTCCTTAAAGGTATGGCCATGTGGACATCTTAGCCACTCTGAAAAGGATGAGAGTGCTGCTACACCACAGCATGCAGCAGATGATACAGTTTAACTGCCAGTGGGATATGGCACTATGGTCACATCATCCTTCAACGCTGTGAGCTCCAGTCTTGTCTACCAGGCACACGTGTAATGAGCTCTCTGCCTCTACCACACTCTCCTTCTCAATTTCCTGGTTAGGTTTGTATGAATCTATATCAGTGGTGCTCAAATCTTTTGGCCCCATGGGTCAGATGATTGGCACCTGGCTGGATCAGGCCTCATGCATCTTGGCCCCATGCACCCAATATAATGTGCAAGGCTTTTATATAGCCTGTGGGGCTCCCCATGGGTTTTCAAAATTTGGCAGCAGGGGAGCAGCAATTCAGGCTGTCCCACTGCCAAGTTTTCAGACCCATTGGGAGTTCTGAGGGCCAGATGACACAGCTCGGTAGGCCAGATCTGGCCTGTGGGCTGGGGATCAAACACCATTAGCCTATATCAATATAAATTAGCTAATAGTCCTTAACTTGATAGCAAATGGAGCCAGGTTAGAGTTGGAGCGACTTAGTTCCACTTATTGCTGCAGAATTATGCACTGTAACAGCTAGTATTAGTATCCTGCTAAAGATAGAGTACATATACTTAAGGTATCGCAATAAAAAAAAAGTCACCACGAGGTAAATTAAGGTGTGAATTAATAGTGGTTTAAGCCAGTGGTGCTCAATTTCCCACCCCCTGCGTGCCAGATCTGGCTGGTGGTCCTCATCTGGCACCTGGACTGGGCACAGTGAGCACCGTTTAGCCATGAAGAGTCAGGCAGGAGGCAGTATGGTCCCAAACCAGCCCCAAAGGGAGTGAAGTGGGGAGAAGGGGGAACAGCTTGGCCCTGACAGCCATGCAGGGCTTGCGGCTTGGCAAGCTGGCAGGGCAGGGAGGGTGACCATATTAATGGTTACTGCTCCCCTGCTATCAGATTTCCCAATCCAGGTGGAGCCCCACAGACCAGATGCCAAGGCTCCACAGGCTGTATCTGGCCCATGGGCCAAAGATTGAGCACCCCTGGTTTAAGCTACTCCACTAACTGTCTTGCTGCATGCTCTGACAAATGCAAGTTAACTAACTCCTCAATGAAAGTAGGGCAAATTGCTTTGTAGTAAGGCTAAAAGTACACATACAGGCAGTGACCATAGAGAACCTGTACTGTTAAGTTCACACCCTAACTTATCCCCAGTAGTTTCTATAATCACAACTATAATATACAGCCACCAGTGAACATATGTATAAAAAAAACCAAGGATTTTATGACCCAGTGGAAAAAGTGAAACATTCATATCCTGACAACTGTAATTGCATTAAGCATTAATTGAAATGTTTTTTAAACAAATAACCCTGCTTGAAGTAGTAAATGGATAAGCTTTGCCTTTTCATGATGAACCCACTGACTGCATGGAGGTTCAGTTCAGTGAAAACAAGATATTTCAAAATGAAGTAGAACCTGGATACTTCACAGGGTTAGGTCCTCCCTCTTCTGTAAAGATAAAGATTTCCAGAGTAACCAGGGGAATACAGAGCCATAAACAGCAGGACTGCTAAGCTTTTATTTCAAATGGCACTTCTTTGCTGATTAGCTGTGCAGGACTACTGAGTGAAAAAGCAGTGCCCTTTGAAGAAAGCCACACCAAACAGCTGACTGGTTTGCCCTTAATTTGGCAACCTGCTGCAAATCAAGTTGCTTCCAAACTACCTGGATAATGACCACCTCTGTTCTACTACATCAACTACTAACACAGGAATTCAGCTTCTACGTTTCCTCTCAAAGGAAAATCATAAATATCAAAACGCTGAGAGATGTACTCTTGATAATGCTACAGGAGTTCACACTATCAGTTGGCAGGGGAAAAAGGGTTTTACTGCTAAAAGCCAAATTACCATTTTTTTTTTAAAAACATCACACAGATCTATCAGATTTTTTT